ACACGCACACGCACACACACACACACACACACACACAAATTACCTACTGCAGTAGATTAGACTATTTTGCTGAGTCTATTTTTTCTTAACTTTTAGTCTTTTTAAAACATTTTAATATATTTTAAATTTATAATATTTTTAATATACTGTTTAATTTTAGTTTAAGCGCATTCTATTTTGATACAAAATGGAAATATGTATTTCGTAATTTGAAATTTGTAACGTCATAATTCGAAACGATTGATGCCATTGTGAATTTCGTCGCATACTTCACTCTGTTGTTTGTTTTGTTCTCGTCTCTATCTAAGAGCTTTTGAAGGTTTAAGGTGCAGGAGACAGTAGACGTAGTTTGACGTAGTTATCTCACGTAGCGTGGTATATAAAGATTTGTGGATTTGGTTTTATCGAACTCTGCACATTTGAGGATTAATAAAAGAAGAAGAGAAAGAGATTTGTGATAATTTTGGTTCGCATCTATCGTCTTGTTCACAGGTGAGGCCAAATAAGTGAAAAGAAATACAACGATAAAATATACATGTATATGTGCATTCCAAATATATGATACATTAATCTCGTTTTTCTATTTACTTAAATATTTGTAGATTTTACCGATAAATAACATGGAATCAGGATATATAATAAAGGATAATGCAAGGATCACTGCGAAAGATGTACCAAATTCAGATTCATCATCAGAATGCATATGTTTTAGACCACATTCCAACATCATATGCAATGGTTGTGGATTTTGGACTAGAGGAAGAGTAAGATACTGTTGTCCTCAACATCCTAAGGTTATTATTCTAGGTTCTAATATTTTATTTCTCTTAATCTAGCTTTTATGTATGGTTAGTTGACGACAGTAATAAAAACAATTATTTAAACAATAAATTTAATAATAATATTATTAAATAGTATTGCTGCTATATTGCTATAATAATATCTCTTGTCATCATCTTTTTCTTACTTACAGATCGTTTTTCTACATGATCATGCTCAATGTCCACGCTGTAGAAGCTATGACTTCATGCTTAAGGAAATCTAAAGCAATTATTTTTGTCAGATGAGTTGAAGTTAGAAATTAGACAAGTTAAACATATATATATATATGTATGTATATATATATATATATATATATATATATATATAAGATAAAGATAAGTTAAAAGTTATTAATGATTCATTTAAATAAGGCTTATTATTGTTTTACTACGTTGAGTGAGTGAGTTAATATACTATATGAATAAATATTATACAAGTGCGATAGTAGATTTGTTTGGAATAGTAAAATTGTTGTAGAAAAGACTGAAGGATTTTCATATATCAATCTATAACAGATACTAAAAGATAGTAGATTTGTTGGAGAGAAGACTGATATTTTCATTTCTATAACAGATACTGAAGATGAGCTGCACTTGTAAATCTCTTTACAGATGGAACACTGTCAAAATGTTTAATACCTCGCAGTATATAGATATCAGAATGAGTTGTTTTTATTTTTCTCATAACACAGTGCATAACACAGTTGTCAGAAATATGCTAGTACATTGTTACAATGGTATATTATAAGAAAATATTACTATGATTGTTCTAAACTTTAAACTAATGATTTATTATACATATAATAACAAAATGTTTTGACAGTAGCCCCAGATAAGAATAAATAATATATTGTCTTAAGAAATTAATCAATAATTTGTATCTTGTACATTGTTCTCGAAAAAAGTCAGCTTTTTTAATTTTTTCAAATAAAGTGCCTTTATCAAAAAAATAAAAGTGTAATTTTATATGTAATGTATGTTATCAGCAAATATGACATTTAAAAATAAAACCAGTTTTATTTTGCCTTATTTGCCTTATATTAATTCCTATAAATATTCTATTCATTCTCAAAACCTTATTAGATATTGAATTGTGCAGTTTTGAGAAACAAAATATATATTAAGTTTACAAAATTATTTAGCACGTGTTGAAAAAAAGCATTTTTCCAAATGTTTAATTGTATAATAATATACAGTAATATATGCATGTACGATTATTCGGTTATGTTACATTTATTTTTTATCATAGCAGATTGTTATATATCTATCCTCCGCGGTTTTGGATCGCGAGAACATGTTCGAGAATTTAAATTAATATTAAACAATTATTTCTTTAAACAGAAAGTTATTGTGGTAAACAAATTTACATAAATAGACAAGTCATGCTCATATGTATGTATATACATATACAATATAATACATAGAAATTCTTTAATATGATTATTTTTTAGTTTTTCGCTGAATCTCTCGACTATTGTAAATAACTTGGCATTAATTTCGATCTATAATAGATTCAGTAAGCCTTAAAAAATTGACCAAATAATCGATTGTTCTTCTCACATACAACACGGTGATTCATTAATTTCTTACTTTTTAAGGCTTAATTGCTTAATATACCTAGAGTCCTAAATTCTCATAGAGTCCTGGATTATCAGAGCAGAGAGGATCCGAGAGCGGACATGCCGGCTTTTTGGCTGTCCGCTGTAACGCTAAAATGCCCTCGCGCACTATCGCCCTCTGAAGAAGTGGATTCAAATTACATAGCAAAATCAAGATTTCTGCACAATTTGTGGTGCGTGTCCGTACTAAATCCACTTTTCGAGTCTGCTGGAGCTTTATTCTCGAAAAATTACGCATTAGAAAATATATTTCCTTACTTCCTAATGCGTAATTTTTCGAAAATAAAGCTTCAGCAGACTCGAAAAGTGGATTTAGTATGGACACGCACCACAAATTGTGCAGAAATCTTGATTTTGCTATGTAATTTGGATCCACTTCTTCAGAGGGCGATAGTGCGCGAGGGCATTTTAGCGTTACAGCCAAAAAGCCGGCATATCCGCTCGCGGATCCTTTCTGATCTCTCAGAAAAGCGGCTTATGGCAGTATCTCAAAAGTACTAGAAAATATTAAAAATGGCGACAAATGGCCTATCATAAGGGCGAATTCATACCTTGCAGAAAAGTAGAAGCCAATCAGAACTAGCGTTGGTAGTCAATAATTTTTGCTTTCTGCTTTTCTTGCTATCAGTGGGAGTTCTGATTGGCTTCTGTTTTTCTGTTTTCCGCTTTTCTGTCAAGGTGTGAATTTGCCCTAAGATTGATTCATTCGATATTATAAATGGCTGCCGAATAAATCAATCTTATGATTGGCCATTCAACGCCATTTTTAATATTTTTTAGTACTTTTGCGATACTGCCATAAGCCGGTCGTGCTCCTCTGATAATCTAGGACTCTAGTTGCAGCTAAATCGCGGGCATGGCCGCTCTCAGGATCCTCTCTGCTAGAGAAAAAGGTTGCGGCAGAGAAGCTGCCGGCGGCTGTATCCGCTTGATGCTGCAAATGCTTCAGAGCATTTTTCGATTGGTCAATTAATAAATATTCTTTCTTCTGATTGGTCAGTGGTCAGTAATCAAATGCTTCGAAGCATTTGTAGCAGCAGCTCGTCAAGTGGACGACTGTGGACCGCGCCTAAAGCCCAAAGTCACTAGAGCTCAAGTACAGAGAGTGCAAGCAACTCAACAAACTTATATTTCTATATTTTTCTCCACATATATATGGAAATCTAACCTAGCTTAATCTGAAGTTTTAAACGCAAGTGTAATCATCCAACAACAGACACTCTGAGTGTAGTATTGCGCTTTCTCGTGAATTTTATTATCAATATTGAATGGTAAATAATTCATAATTATCAGAAAACTGTTATTATATTATTGTGACTAATAATTGTAGAAAAGCTGTAGATTCCATGGCATTTCCACTAAATGACCAGGTCTACACAAAATCCTTTACTCCCAGGGAGTATGAGGTAAGTTTGTACTTTGATACGATTAAAAACTTGAAAAATATACGGAAATTTTAATATACGCGCGCGTATATTAGCAAATATTTACACATGTATATATTGGAAACATTTATTTGTAGGTAGAGCTTCTTTATGCAGCAAAAGAAAAGAATATAATTGTCTGTTTGGGAAAAAATTCCGAGCAAACCTTTCTTTCTATAAAATTGATTCAAGAGTTTGCTACGAATAATAGAAGGTAATAATGAAATTTCATTTACTTCAACAAATTATATTAATAGAATTATTGCTGAATATTACTGATTGCACGAACGTTAAATATGAAATATTTAGCATATAGTGTATAAAATTGACAGAATCTTTATACAGAAAATTTTTTATGTTAATTTTATGAACATCATTCCGCGCTTTATATAAAATATTTTAAGAGTATCTATTCAATTTAATTTATATTTAATTATAAGTATATTTGTTATATATATATATATATATATATATATATATATATACACACACACGCTTGAATTTATGTATGTACGTTATCTTCTCATTTGCATAGATCAGTAAGTAATGGTGGAAAACGGATGATATATATATTAAACGATAAAGAGAAGTGTACAATAATAGGAACTTATATAAAGCAATTAACAGATCTGAAAGTATTAGCATGTGATTCTACTGATGTGCTTGAGGAATTTGACAAAAGTTTTGAAAGTTCTTACGTAAGAAAAAATACTTATTTACTATATACATCTATTGTTAAAAGGAAAGGTTTATTTCAAGTATTTTCTTATCATACAGTTTATTTTATACTATATGTATAGGTATTAGTCGGAACACCAAAAATCTACGCACAACTAATATCGGAAAACAAACTTTTATCGTGTCACATAAATCTAGTCATAATAGACGAGTGCCATAAGTCTATCGAAGATAGCAATCTAAAGTTTGTCCTGCAAACTTTTTTATCGTGCAACATTGTTCCTAGAATAATCGGGTTAGCGGTACCAGTGTTTAACTTGACACAAGAACCTGGAAGATTGGGCTTAGAGATAGAAAAAGTAGAGGCTGCCTTCCAATGTCAAGTAGAAACTGCTAATGATATTCTTTCAATAATACGGTAAGTTTAATAATTTGCTGACATTGTTTTGACAGACTAATCATGTAAGATGATTATTTGTAGTTATAGCCCAAAACCAAGAGAGTACGTTGTGGAGTATGATAGGGGAGAAAAGAAAGACTTGTATAATACGCTTAAAAGTTGCGTGTTACATGCCATTGATTTTTTACGCGATCATCGGTATGATCCAATGGAGATTTATACCGAAGAATTTTATGAGGACATTCAGAAAATTCCCGACCCTATACAAAAACCCTTTGAGATGATGCAAGATTTTTTGCACATATTAGAAACTCTTGGACCATGGTGTGCGGATCGCGCTGCTCTTACATTACTATTCTTAACAGAAAAATTGAAAATCAAAACCCCTTACGAGAGGCATTATCTTCTATTAAATATGATGACATCTGTTTTTATAAAAATTCGGTAAGATGTGTAGATGATTGTAATAATGAATTGATATCTATGTATGCTTTTGTGTAAGATATACAGTATAATTTTACACACAAAAATTACAATTTTTACACAGTGCCCTTTGTGATAATGAATTTCAACATTTATCTGAGAAAGAAAGAATATATCAATATAGTACTCCAAAAGTTCATCGACTGTTGCAAATATTAAAAATTTATACTCCTTTTTATACTAGTAAAGAGACTAACACTCCAGAGAAAAAGACAAGTGCTGGTAAGAATCTTTTCCAATTTATAAGATACAAATATAAAGGATACAATAATATATTTTAACAGGCATTTAAAAAGATATTGCAATTTTTTCAGATGTTAATTCCAAGAATTGCGTCACAAAAAGTGACAAAAATATTTCTTTCTCGAGAACTCAGGAAAAACCCGTGCAGTTGAAAAAGTTTGGAGGTAATTGGAAATCTAACGATGACAATTACAAAAAGACGTTTAAATTGCAACGTTACTCCTGTAGTGGTACAGACCCTGATCTGCTGTGTGGAGTAATTTTTGTGGATAAAGGATTTACAGCTAAAGTTTTATTTTATTTATTAAGCGTATGTGTATAAATCCTAGTACAGAAAGTAAAAAACATCGTATGATAAACTCATTTTCTAATATTTATTCCTTTAAAGGAAATATGTAAACATGATGAAGATTTGCACTTTCTATCACCCCTTTATACAATTGAAAGAAATACTGATGATGTTGGTTATTCGAGAGATTTAGAAATGGAGCATAGAAAACAAGAAGAAGTTTTAAAACGATTTAGAATTCATGAATGCAACTTGTTGATTGCAACTTCAATCTTGGAAGAAGGTTTGTAAAAATTTTTTATCATGTTATTTATACATAACAAATGGGTTTTTCCTAAAAATTGAGTTTTACTTCAAAGATACATATGTATCCAGATATGTATCTTTGTACATATGTATTATAACAGTAAAGAAAAAAGTTTGTATAAACATATGATTTTGTATTTTTAGCAAATACATTTTTATGATACACATTTTTTTTATACTATTTTCTTTTTTCTTTTGTACTTATTTGCAATTTTAATGTACACATTTTTGGAGAATTATGTATCTATCATGAGATTGGATAGATCATCAACATTTCCTGTCATATAATATATTTTACAGGCATTGATATTCCAAAATGCAATTTTGTGATGAGATACGATTTTCCAAAGAATTATCAGTCATACATACAGTGCAAGAGTAGAGCAAGAGCCATGGATGCTTTGCATGTATTATTGGTACCACAAGAATCATCTAAAGAATTTATATGGCAGTTGGCTCAATATCAATATATAGAAAAGGTATAACTTATAAAATTCAATTTTATAATCTATTTTTAGTAAAATTTCAGTGTCTCGTAAGACTCCTGTTATATCAAATGCCTGCAAATTCAGATACTTTAAGCAAGAAAATATACGATTTTTTTCTTGCTATAATATGTATCCAAATTTTAAATTAGCTTGTTTTGTTTTTCCTTTTTTTTGTATTCACTTGTATTTTATAATTTAGATTGATAACATATTTAGAAAATTTTCTTTTATGTCTCTTAATATTGTTCGTTATTGTGAATACGCTATAATTGATTATAATTAATAGTATAATTTAGTCTATATTGTATTTTACACTTTAGATTTTGTTTTCTTTGGATCGAAATATGTTTACACACACACCACATCACACCACACTACACCATACCACACCATACCATACCACACCACACACCACACCACACCACACCACACCACACATACACCACATCACCCCC